CCATCAGCAGAAAGAGGCAGATGAACATATAAATTAGCATACCAGATCATTTAATTGAATCCAGCCTTAGGCATCAACCCAGTTTGTACAAAAACAAAACTATATAATCTTCATTCAGTATGTCAAAAGAACCAAAGGGTAAGAAATTCACCAGAATAACTCCAATTATATTTGTAGGTTGCTCATAATAAACTGGCACTCTGCTATGCCCTTTCTCCAATATTAAGTTCATTAAATCCCTGTGCACAAATAATATGGAACGTAAAAAAAAGATTAAACAAAAGAGGGAAAGTACCTTTTTAATGGAATTTTACATTTTAGAATCTTTCACAATATCACAAACCTGTTCAACCGAGCATTAACGTCAATAGCAAAAGTATCAGATATAGGAGTCATTGCATCACTAGCAGTTTTCTCCGTGAGTTCAAGTGCTCCAGCAATAATTGTCGTCTCATCATGAGTTAGTTCTCCACCTTTTCCAGCCTAGCAGAAGCAATTGAAGGGGTTATTTAACTGACACCATATGATAAAAGCACAGAGAGATCTAGCCAATTGCGTTCAATATAATTTGGAATAACAATTTTTAAATAGTGGAATCTTAAACTGGAGATAACCAATGGCACAAAATTGATGACCCCAAGTAAACAATAGATAAAATAAATGAAAATGTTGATGGGAACATAATACCAAAGGGTTAGCAATCCGATGATATCCAATTTGTGACAATGGAAAGTGGAAGTTCGTATTATTTGATCATTGATAAACAATTTATTGTATAATAGTTAACACATTCACATTTTTTATCATTGATAAAAAATTTATTGGATAATACTCAACATAGTTACCACAGAATATACACATTCCTTCAACCCACAAAAATATACAGATTCCAAAATCAATAATGTAATAAAACAATCATTCTTTTCACAACTTAGTTCCAGTAACAGGAGAATAGGTCAGATAGAGTTTACTTCTTCTTGTTCTCAACCCATAACCAGTACGAACTACTAAGTTACCATAAGATCCTTAACACTTGCCCAAGCTTTTAGTCAGCAAAAAGTAAAAAAGGTAAAACATGGATCCCCTAATATTTTGCATCTTTCAGTTTAATTATCCAATAGAAACTTGATAAATGCACTCTTGGCACAGTAGGAAGCATGCAACAATTTCTGTAAGGTCCCAGTCGGTTCATTCCTTATTTAAAGTCCCTAGTAAATTATAGTTCTAATTTTCATACTAGCCTTGGTGTACATAATTGGAGAATAATTTTGTTATGTTCAAGTATCCCCACCAACCTTGAATTCCTAGAGTTGGAATTTCAATTCCTACTTTAAGAAGTTGGAATTGAAATCTCACCCCAAGGAACTCAACGTACAGAGGAGGTAACACAAATATTATATATATACACATCATGAACCATAATAAACAAAACATAAAGCACACTGAAAATTTCAAAGAATATGAAAATAGTGAAAGCAATTGAACTTGCCTCATTTCCATGCAAATTTACAAGTGTTTTCAGCTCAGCTCTGCGAAAGAGTGCTACATGTCCATGGCCCAGCAGGAAGTCCAACAGCTGGAGAATCACCAAACACTTGACGTCAAGAGAACAACCTTTTTGGAATGCTAATCCAAATTGTGCAGTCTTTGTGTAGGATAACTAAAATCTGAAAGAATATAAAGTACTTCACCTTGCTTATGGGGAAGGCAACAGGAAAGCAGACCCAAACAAGAAGACGAACAAACGGAGCCACAGTTGCACCAATTGCCAAACCATGCCGCGAACAAACAGACTGTGGTATTATCTGCACAGATAATATAAAAGCAATTAGTAATCTGAAAGTGCAAGAACAGTTGCATGATTATATAATCAGTTACAAGACTGAGACACACCCTTAAGTAGATACCTTCAGCAAAAGTTTCTTGACTAAAATAATTTGACAAATAATATTTAAGACCAGAGTAATAGCATTCGTATGCATCATGCACATACAGTAGGAACTATACTCTCTTCAAAACATGACCCAAGGGAGATCTCTCACCTCACCAAACAGAAGAATTAAAGTAACTGAGATCAGAATAGCACCCCACGCTGTAACCAGACCATCAAGAAAAATGGGAAGTGCCTGGCAAAAAAAGGCAGGGAAGTCATTCCAAACTGATAACTAATATTTTCAATGCCCATGATCAGACAGTTTTTCAACATATCCAGCAACATACCTCCATGGCAGCAGCATTGCAAATGAGTAAGGTGCAAAGCAGCAAATGCTGGTTTTTTACCACTGGTAATATCTTAGCTGCAGGGATAAAACATATTTATCAGTACACTGAACGCAGAACAAGTAATTTTTTTTTAAATAAAAAGTTAAAATTTATCAAGCAAATCTAAGAGTTTCGAACACTGTAACAAATGGCACCCACAGTATTTACCAATAGCAATTATCAAAATAATATGAATAAGTTAAAAATTCTCCAGCAAATTATTCTCTCTTGAAGCTGCACCATCAGTTCTTGCCAAACTTACCATTCCATTCCCTAATGGACCTCCATGAAAGGAGAAGGAAGGAATCAATATTAGTCAGAACTTTCAAAACCAGCAGATTTAAATACTTAACTCTGACGAAAAATATGCCACAAACCATGTGTTACAAGGAAACTGTTATCAAATGGTGTTAACCAACACTTGGAAGCAGATGAGTGCCATGTTTGTGAATGCAACTTCAGAAGGGTCATTATAGATAGTAACTCAATAAAATAATCCACGTAATAAAACAAGGTTAGTTACAGGTTACAACTTAAATAGCTACCATCTGATTAAAGCAAATCAATTGCCTAAACATTACATTTGAAAGTATGCCGTCAGAGATTGCACAACATTTCACGGAAAATTTTCCATTAGCAGTTGAAATATAACATATTAACATGTCAATAAATAACTCAGAAAACAAAGGATTCACCACTTTAAGCATCAGTACCAACAAGTGTACAATCAAATAGATAATTGTTTTCAAGTGTTAAGCTTGTGTCTGAAACGTGATGTAACACAACATAAAGTGAAAATCGCTCAATAAAAGACAAGCTCAAAGATTAAAATTATATTCTTTAGGAAGAAAATGAAAACATTAGCTCTTGAAACTAGACTTAATTGTTAGACATAACATAAGGGTGTCTTGTCTTTTTGCATCTGTATGTGTGTGCATATTACAGAGAGAGAGAGACCAAATCAAATCTTAATTTATGTTAGGCCAAGGTTGACAGCATGTTTTGGAACCAAACTAAGAACAAAGTCTAGTAGCTCACAGCAATTGAGAAAAATAAAATAGTACTAGGCTGAGTTAGGTAATTTGAATTGCATTAAGTTCCTATCATTTCCTACTTCAGTTTCTTTTACTGAACCAGGTCTGAATTGTTGCAAACTCACAAACTCACAAGGGATGCCTTAACTGTGAGTTAGGAAGAACTTCTTATCACCATAATTGGAATACTCTTTCTATGCATGATCCAACGTGAATAAGCAAGCAAATCTTCAAGTAAAAGCAAATCCTGTCAACTAAGGTCCAAAAAGATAAAACATTCCAACCATTCGGATCCTCTGATAATAAATTTTCTATCATTCATGTCTCCCACGTACCCTATTCTCTCATCTACAAAGTGAAGCAAAAGATTCACGCAAAACTGATAAAACTAAACGAAATTTCAATAGAAACAAAATTCTTATTGATTAATCAAACATAAAATAAAACAT